TCACGCACTCATCTGCAGACCAACTGATGGATTGACTGGCTGACGCAGTGACAAACTGACAAACTGACAAACTGACAAACTGACAAACTGACAAACTGACTTGCAGCGCGGGCTGTCTTCAATTTTAATAAATTTCCCGTGCATGTAAGCAAGCGCGACAGTTGACAGCTGCAGCTTCAGCTTCGTTTCCCATTTTCCTCAGCTGGTGGGTGGTGGGTGGTGGGCGGTGGGTGGTGGGCGTTATCCTGCGTCCTTCGTCCATTGTTGGACCGCCAAAACGGCGGGCATGGCTGGGTGCAAAGAGGGCTTTGTTGCCGCTGTTTTTGGCACAGTCTGTTACAATTACATGTCCCACTGTCTGCCTTAGGGGGCGTTGGGCGCGGGGGCGTGGCAGGTGGCTGGCTGGGGGTGGTGACCTGCCAAGGACATTGCAGTGGCACTGTGACATCACGATATATTTTATACACGGCGACGGGTCACGCTCTCGTTTCATTTATTTCTGCGCTGTGCATATTTCCCTGCCAGCCAGCGCCATCGTTATTTATATATCCTGGTGGCCCCCATCTAAACCACCTGTCGGTGGATTCAGGCTGCAGGTAATGTGGTGGGTGGCCGTGGGTGGCTGGCTGCACAATTGCCACTCGACACACATCGAGGACACTCGAGTGCAGCATCGACAAATTGAGCAGCTAGCGGAGGAGCTACTCCAGCTGCTCGATGGCCTCGTCATCCCCTGCTACTTCACTATAATGATCTGGGCTAGCTGCAGGTAAGGTAAATCAAACAGTATTTCAAGCCATACACTTGCAGCCCCAAATCTGCAGTAACTGGGTTGCTGGCATCTTTTCTCGCCGTGTGACCAACGCTGCTCGGCTTTTTCTCCACCAAAGACGCCAGCTCAGCTGCCATCGCTCATACGCACCGTGGGCAGCAATTTATCGCCATAAAGGCACAAAATGCCAGGTCGTCCCGACGCTTCATTACCATAATGGCCAACCTTATGGGGTGTAAATCATCCGAAACATAAGCTGGGCGAGCAAATGGCTGACTGGGGAGGCATAAAGCTCAAAAATCACATTGCTAATTCATAAATAAGCCGTTTGACTTGACAGCCCATATTTGGCGGCGAGTAAAAAATAAAAATAAAGTCAGGGAAAAAGAGGAAAAATATGCCAATATATCAAAAGGATTGCTAATGTACACACCTTGGGCCAACGGGCGTATTTGATTTTAAACGCGCCCCATTTTGTGGCTGCCACATTAGCATACATCTGCATATATGTATATACATACATATATATGCAAATGGCTAAAGCCGCTTGTACTGGGACAAGATACTTACAATTCACGCACGACTCGGGCAAAGATTGGAGCCACTTGAAAGCGCTGATTGTGTTGACACCCCGGGCCGCCAATCCTCATCAGCATTCCCAACCCCAAGTCATCCCATAGTCATGCCATCCTGCCAGCAAGTTCCATTATAATCGCTCGAGCACTTGGTAAAAGCCAATAAAGATGAGCAAAAGGAAAATACCTTCTTTGAGGTGGGCAGAATGGGGCATGTTAACGTTATCAAAAGGGATGAATCAGCTCGCATTATGCATTCACAATTTGTTTTGCTCTGAGCTGGAGGAAGTATGTAAATAATACACTTTTAGCTGCTAGTCATGAACTGCAAGCTAATAAATAAAAGTTGACTTTTTAAAGCTGCCTAGAGGTGCGCACAACTTTTCGCACATAATGGGTAATTATAATTTGCACACAGACCCACTTGGCAACCGTTTGGAAACAAAGAACGCACACTTTAAGCCCTTAACAAGTTGATGATCTCATTATATGCTTTGGGCCAAATGTTCGGCTCCCAGTAGCTGGCGCTTGATTTTCCGCTCTGCGCGAAAGTAAAATAGAAACCCGCGATTAAGAGGTGCAAACAGAGCGCTTTTCCGGGAAAAACCGGGGAATGCAACGCTCTGCAAAATGCAAATACAAGAATACAAAAATTATACAAGCCCAAAGAAGTCTTTTGCAGCGCTTTGTGATTTCACTTACTCTTTATTTCTGTTTTTTGCTCTTGTTTTTTGTTTAATTTGTACGCGCTGCCACAGGATGTCTTCATCATAATTACAAACAAAGCACAACTGCGGGGAAAACAGCAGCAACAACTGGAGGCGCCACAAAGAAGTGGCAGCCGTGGAATTGTTTGCACAGCATGTTGCAAGAACACAGCTACAAATAAAATGCAATATATACATATATAATACATATAATATGTGGAAGAAGAGCATCTGCGGCAGTTGCAGTTGCACTTCCTTCACTCACTAGGATATTTCCAAGGATATTAGCTCCAATTTGGATTCAACTTTTCCGCTAATAGCTATCTACATTGATTATTGCGCCCATTAGTTGTGCAACAATTGCTGCTAAAGCTGCCAAGTTGCAAGTGCGGCAAATATTGCTGCAATGTAGCAACTCACACATGTTGCATACAAGTCGAGTGATTTTTTCCGCGTTTTTACAAAGTTGTGTAGCTCAGGGGTTAGAGCATTCGACTGTCGCTTGAAAGTGGAGCGGCTCAATCCCAGCAGGTGATAAACATTTTTTATTAATACTACAATTTGAATTGTGGTGTCGCGTTTCTTATGCCGCTGATTTCGCACTTCCAGGGGGCAAATGAAACGAGGCGCATTTGTTGATCAAATATACCAATGCGCTTTACACATTTCGATTACTGCCTTTGCGAAATGTTTTCCTGTAAATAGTCGAATAATTGCATTGCATTATTCACAATACCAGCAACACAGTCGCAGCGAGGCATGTGTTAATAATGCCACTTTGTGGCAGATATCCATCAAGATATTGTATGAAAGCCATATAGGGCCATAAATGTATAATAACTGCAATTGCTGTGGACAAACTCAATTGATATTTCATGTGCGCGCAAATTCGTTGGTCGATAAAAGCCGAAAATACTCGCAAAGTAATGAATCGCTTTTATGGATATAAAGCCAAATTAATCGACTGTTAAGTGCTGCGTATAAACGTATTTAAATACATTTACAGCCCCAATTTTTGGCCCTCTCTCTGTACTTTTTTTTTCTTCTCCCTGTTGATGGAATTTTTCACTATGGTATAACGCAGAGATGAAAGTACTGGCCAAGAAGTTGCTTTTTTGAATTTTTCAATTAAATGTTAATTAAGTTAATGAAATGCTTGCCACCCCCCACCCCGCATATACGGTGTCCCAAAATGGGGGGAGGGCAGGGGAGGGGCGGGGGAAGAAAACACGGAAGGCAGAGAAAAGTTGGAATAAAATTTCCGAATTTATGACCAGCATTCCTTTTCACTCTTCTTAATTTCACTGGATTTTTGCCAAAAGACTTGCCGCAAGAATTCTTCCACCAGAAAGTTGCTAAGCAATGTTCACAGAACAAATTTAATTAGTTTAAACAAAAAAGAACACACACACGCACACTTCGCTGCGTTTATGATGAACCTCAGATGAGCAGCGAAAAAATGTTGATTTATCTGCTTTTAAGGCAGCAAAGTTGGGCGCAAAGAAACCCATTAGGTGGATAATCAAATAAAAAATATTGGCCGTTAAAAACAAAAAGTGTTTTTGTGTTTTTATTTACATTAGACTGTCTTTGTTATGTAGAGTTCTCCACTTTTCCACTTTTCGCTTAAGTTCTAACATCGCACTTTGCTTTTCGGCCGCAATTTCGGTTCTGGCTTGAGAATTTTGTCTGCATTGGTCTGTCTCTCTCCTTCCACAAGTTCACAACATCTGTGTAGAGTTTTCCACTTTTCGCTTAAATTCTAGTATTGCACACTGCTGTTTCAGCCCCAATTTCGGTTCTGGTTGGGAATTTTATTCTGTCTGCACTGTTCACAACATCACAACAACATTCACAACATCTACACGTGTCTGTGTTCCATGCTACTTTTACTTTCACCGGGACTCGAACCCGGACCGGCGGCTCTACTCCGTGTGGGCAGTCGGAGCCTAACTACCTGGACTACCGCCGGCGGCGAGGTGACAGCGTCCAACTGATAAACTAGAGCCTCACCTACTTCGATTTGTTCCCCATGGGGAAACACACTTGATTTTCCTCGAAACTACTAAGTGATTGCTGCCTGCTCGGCCACTAGGAATCATAAATCCATGCGGAGCACATTTGGTATGCGGAGCACTCGAGAAGTCAGCTATTTAAATTTCCGTTTGACAAGAGTGTTTTGTTAAGCCCGGCGTAATGCCACCTTCTTTTGGCCGCACTTTGTCATCAGCTTGCCGCTGCTCGTCCTTATGCGAATGCCACACATTTGCATACACACGTGTGTATATGTACTGGGGTTCGCGTCGGGCATTTGTGCTCCATCGTCCTCGGGCCTCTGCTCCTAATTAGTTAATGTACGAAGGCGAGGTCTGTCACTCGACTCCACAAGCTGAAGGCGGAGATGGAGGCGGAGATGGAGCTGGGGATGGGATGGAGAGGGCTATGGAAATGGAGACGATGCTGGAGTCCCAGGCTGGCTCCCCTGGCATTTGGTGGCTCGGTCTCAGCACGCAGCTGGCTACAAAGAGCATTTGGTGGCACCTCTCGCGGAGGAGGAGGTGCCAGTGAGGCAGTCTGCTTTGCTTTGCTTTGCGGCAGCTGTGTGCTCAGTTTTTCCCAGTTGCGCCCTAATGAAATATATGGGGACATGGCTTCAAAGCAGATTTTACATCCAGGAGGAGCCCCGCCCGCCGAGCAAATGTGCGCGTGTGTTGTATGTATTTTTAATGTCGTAGAGTCCTACCTACAAGCATCACCCCCCTTTTGGGGCATTAAAAATGTAAACGCTTTACGGGCCACACGGCGTATGCTTAATGCATAACGCATACGCACCGTGCGCCGCTCGCATACAAATAAACCGGAATGAACTCTTTTGCGTACTTCTCACTTTTCCTGTTCTGTTCTGTTCTCTTCTCTTCTCCGTTCTCTTTTCCGTTCTGTTCACAGGTGAACGTGAGCAACACCTGGACGATGCCGCAGGAGGGGCTGAACGTCTTCTACCGCTTCTTCCGCGATCGCATCTCCTGGTTCGAGGCCGACGCCGTCTGTCAATTCCACCACGCCAATCTGGTGACGGGTAAGCGCGAGTCCAACTGGGAATGGTGCCGCACCGGATGTAGCAGAGTTGTGTGTGCCGAATGCCGGAGAGGAAGTGGAAGTTCAAATGCACATAAGCTCCAGAAAGGAAAAAGCAAAACAAAACCAGCCGCAGGGCATAGCACATTGTTACGAATGTCCGGCCAATGAGCTTCACCTAGCAACTGGCGAATGCATTGGGGAATACAGGAATGGGAATCTAGGGATCTGGAGGGAGCTGGAGGAACTGGAGGGAACTGGAGGGCACTGGACGAACTGAAGGGCACAAAGGGACACTGCCATTGTGGTCCGCAAATGAGCGAAATGACAGCAAAGTGACGCAGCCACAGTCGAGTCCTTTGTGTGGCCAGACCCAAAAGCTTTGGCGTAGAATCAACCTCTGGCCTGCATTTTGCGCCCCCTCGTTTACCGCACAGCTTTCGCTCATTCATTGTTCAGTCGGAGCAGGGAGGGGCAGGGGCCCAGGCCAAAACGTCCTCATAATACAATAAATCCTTCTGACAAATGCTGTCGCTGCGAAACTGGAGCTTCCTGGGGGCCTGGGGAGACGACGAAAGAGTTGCAGGTCGAGATTGGGGTCATGGTGGCCAGATAAAGATGGCCAGCAGTGCGGTGCATCTAAATCAGATGACCCAAAACAAGCGACTCCCGACTCAATAGTGTGCCAGAAAAACGCCAATATATCAGCTTTCCACAATGGCTTGCAAATTCAGGTCCTTTGATCCTTGCGACGGGGAAAACCAAATAAAAGTCAGGCATACATTGCATGAAAGGACATTAAAAGTGGCTGGAAAGGTTACGCTTGCTATTAAAGCTAATAATAACTTTAACCTTTTTTTCACTTACAAGAGATGCAGTTAACTGGTAGATTCAACCTTTAGCGACGATTTGTTATTTCTGGTGCAACATATGCAAATGTGAAGCACACAATGGCTAAATAGGAATCGCAAACAGGAGCGAAAACGGGAAACCAGGAGGGAAAACAAGAGCGCTGCCGAAAATGGAGGAAAAATCATTTTCGGCAGCGTTTTGTTAACAATTTGTGATGCCACTGGAGGGTAACAACGAGCTGATGGTTTCCCACTGTCGAAAAGCTCAATTGAAACAAAAAACCCAAATGAAAACGAAATGTTGAGGGGGGGGAGTGCAAAAAAACACACACACACGTAGAACGAGCAAACAAAACAACAATAGGCGAGGCGAATTTAATAGAAATACGCTGTGTAGTACAAATAAAAAGCATTTGTCGTCTCGTTTTCATTTGAACTATTCTCTCTGCTCATCCTTTTTCCGCCCCGCCACGCCCACTTCGCCTGCGTGCGTGTGTGTGTGTGTGTGATGTCCTTACAGTCGACAACAGTTTTCAATTCGATGCAACGCGCGACCTGCTGAGGGAATTGGATGTGAACGACATCGTTTGGATTGGTCTCATGCGACCGCAGAACTCGGATCGTTTTATGTGGTCGTAAGTACAACAATAGCAACGGCTACATCAACATCAACACCAGCAACAAAAGCGGGCCATTGTAGTGTAGTGTGTGTGGTATGCAAGGACACCAGGACACCAGGACACCAGGGCACTAGGATACAAGGGTACAGGGCTACACGGATATACAGATATGCGGATACAGGGATACACGGATGTACAGATATACGGACACACGGATATACGGACACGCGGATATACGGACACGTGGATATACGGACACACGGATACAGGGACACACGGATACAGGGATACATGGCTACATGGATAAACGGATACATACACAGATACAGGACAAGGGGATGCAGCCGAAAGGGATTGTGCGACAATTGTCGTGTTGGGCCGACATGTGTACAGTGGTCCTCCATTTAGGAAGAGATCAGAGCCGGGTAATCCCCCAAACAGCCAAAACGCCGGGAATTGGGGCTCCTAAATATAATCAAAAGCGTACATGCTACACCAAGTGCAGTCGAGAAAGTTAATAATGGTTATCGGGCTTCAAAACTCTGACTTTCAGACAATTACGTTCAGTAAGCTCGGGCATATAGCAACCAAAATAATGATAATAATAATGATAAGAAAAATAGGCTATGCACAATGAATAGGTGTACATCAGATACAGTTTAGAAATATTCAGGGAAAGAGAGAGCAGCTCATGATTCGATTTCTTTGGGGTGGTAGGAACTCACGTCCCTTGGTGGCGGATACTGGTTACTGGGCCGAATCACTGCCCCTGATGGATGCACCGCTCTGCGCCGTAATCGATCCCATTCGAGATTACCGCTGGCACGCCCTGCGCTGCGGTGGACCCGAAACGGCCTCCTTCCTCTGCGAAATGCCAGGTAGGTGGGGATTTCTGGAGGGGATTTCGCTTGGATCATTTGCACCACACTTCCATACTAACCGCAGTTCCCAGCTGGGCGGATGCGTGCATACTGAAGGACATGCCCAATTTGACCATGCAGTACATGGCGGATACGGCCAGCATCGAGCTGATCCGCAATTGCCAGGAGGAGGGACTGCTGCGACACACCTGCAAGGGCAAGGAGGTGAGTTTGGTTCAGCTCGGCTGCTCGGCCGATTACTCCTGGCAATTGCACCCTCCCCCTTTTGCGGTAACTCTTGTGCTGCTTTGCAGGATCGGGAGCGTGCCATTCGACAACTGATCTGTCCCAAGGAGCGTCTGGAGGCGCAGCGCATCAACGACATCACCAACTCGCACTTCAAGTCGCTGCAGATCATCAACAACATCCACACGGATAACAAGGAGAACAACGACATCGATCTGCTGCCCAACTATAGCCGCCGATCCGGAATGGCCATCAACATTGAGGTGGCGCGACCGGTGCCACCGGTTTCGGTCACCGGATTGGGAGACCTGATGCAGGCGGATGCGCCGGGCGCCGTATCGCTGTCCGGTCTGTATCGCATACCGGATTTGGTGCCCAAGCCGGTGAAGAAGGCGGCCAAGAAGGTGATCACCCCGGACTTTGCCAAGAAGCTGCAGGGCAACCATCAGCAGCAGCAGCAGCACAACCAGCAGCAGCAGCAGCAGCAGAAGTCGCGCAAGTCGCTGGTGCATCAGCACGAGGAGGAGCTGATGATGGGCGACCAGCCGGCACTGAGTGAGGAGCAACTGCCTCCGGGCATGGGCATGGGACTGGGCATTCGAATGCCCCTCAATGAGGATGACAGCAATAGCGATGTCTCCAATGAGATATTCGAGCACTTGCCGCACAAGAAGAAGATCCTGCCGCAGGATCTGCGCACCATGGCGCCCATTGCTGAAGCCGAATCCCCACCGACGACAACAACAACGCTGAGGACGACCACTTTGGCGGCAACAACCACTACACCAACGACAACAACAACAGCGGCGACAACAACAACAGCGGCCACGACGGCAGCTACTGAAGTGGCAACCACACCGAAAGCCGTGGACACCACAAGTTCACAGGCGCCGGCAACAACCACGCGGCCAACAACAACGGTTGGAACCAGCACCATTACAAGCACCACCACTACAACAGCAGCAACTACGCCGCAAGCGGAAGAGGCAACGACAACAACGACCAAGAAGCCGGAGCCAACAACCATGGTGGCACCTCGAACAACAAAAACAGCAGCCACCGAAGCGGCAGCAACGGCAGCAGCAGCAGCAGCAACTAGCACAACAACAGCAGCAGCAGCCGCTGCCACAGCAACAACAACAAGCGCGGCAGCAGCAACAACCACCCATGCCACGCCCACGGACAACAGCAACAACATGGCACACCCAATCCACCCATCGCAGCAGCAGCACCACCAGCAACAGATGCTGCACGAAGGCGCAACGCTGCAACAGCAACATGCAACGCACGTCAACGAGTCCGCCGACAACACGCGCTTCATACCGCCAATGCTGCTGGTGAAGTCGCACTACGTGCCGCCGGCCAAGCATGCCACCGAGCACGCGACCACAACAACACGGGCGACAACAACGTCCAGTACGACAACAGCAGCAGCAGCAGCAGCAGCAGCAACAGCAGCAACAGCAGCAGCACCAGCAACAACACACGCAGCAGCAACATCGGCCAAAGTGGAAGTGCAGCCATCAACAGTCACGTCATCGAAGGGACTGACAGCAGCAGCATCAGCAGCAGCAGCAGCAGCAACGGCAGCAACAACAGCAGCTGCAGCAGTCGCTGACACCGTGGCAACATCAACCGTGACAGCGACAACAGGTGCAGCTGTGGAGGTGACAACAAGCGTGAAAATAGCTGAAGACACCGCAACAACACCGGCGACAGTGCCAGCAGCAACGGTAATTGCCAGTGAAGCGCCACCAGCAGCAGCAGAAGCAGTTGCAGCAACAACACCAGTCGCAGCTAATGAAATCAAATTGAATGCCACTGCTGTGGCAGCAGCAACAACAGCCGCACCGAAACCAGTCAGGGAGTTCAGATATCCGCTGGTGAACCAGGGATCCTTCAAGGAGGATAACAACGGCATGGGCAGCCCCGAGGAGGAGGAGGATGAGGAGGGGGAGGACGCGCAGGGCCACTTGGAGACGGAGGCGGCCACAACGCGACACAACTTCCTGGAGGAGACCGAGGCGCCATTCAAGCCAAATCGACGACGCTCGCTAACCAAACCGGAAACGGTTAGCTATTTCAAGAAGATCTTGGGCTAAAAACGCCCGGAGCCGCGTTGCTGCAACCGTAATCCGCACTAGTAACCGTAAACGTAAACGTAAACGTAAACGTAAGCGTAATCGCGACAGTAACCAACTGTTAAACCATAAATAAGAAAAACGATGATAAAGTATGACGTAAGAAGTACACTCCCTGCACACAGCCACGTAATTGGTCTTGGAAATCAGAGCAAATTGAAACAGTTGTTGGCATTGCCCCGCTGGCCATTTTCTCCTTTTAAAAGTCCCACGAGAACATCAGTAACCGAGAGCGACCCAAACAGCATTCCGCATCCACATTCCGGCCAAAAGTTTGCGGAGCTGCCGCTTCCCAAAGTCTTGTGTCTCCGGCAGAAATGCCGGAAATCCAAGCGGAAACCCAAAAGAAAACTCAACTCAAGTCGACTCGACTCCAGTTGCAAGTACAGAAATATGTCAATTTTTCACCGGAAAAAAGAAAAAGCAAGTGAATGCAAACAAACAAACCAGCAAACAAACACGCACACTCAAAAGCAGATACAGATACAGATACAGATAGTCTGTCAGGTGGGAAGGAAAAAATAGATGGAAACCAAGACGCTGGAGGAGCTTCCATTCGAATGGAAAAGCGGGGAGTGTGTGCGATGCAAAGGCCAAATCTAAAGTACGATAAATACTGCGAAAAAGTGTTTACAAACGTATACATAGGGCGTCTGTTTTGGATTTCCGTTTGCTTTGCCTACAAGCGACATGTGGTCACACTGGTCCAAATGGGAAAGTGTGAACAGAGCAGTGAAAAGTGCACAACACTTATTCCCAACTCACTTGTTTCGATTCCGTTCGCATCTGCTCGTTTTTAAGCCTTCTGAAAATGTTTAAATCCATAATAGAATTTTTTTAAACCCATTCAAGGCTGCCTATAATTGACATTAAATTGCATTTTTGAGTAAGTGCTCCCGTTAGAATAGTACTTATTTGCTTTTAAATCAACAGAAGGTTTCACTTGCCGCTTAAAATAATAGCGCCAGTTGATCGACATCTTAATTTCCCAGAAGAAAAAGCCTATGAAAATCCAAAACAGCAATCGCCATGCAAATTACATACATATTTACCTATTAATTATGAACATATGTAATAGATGTTGTTTTTTTTTTTTGGTGTACGGAAATAGTCAAATACAATTTGTGTAAGCCATTAAAGCGCGTTTGTCATTTGGAAATTTTGAGAAAATTACTTCGAATGAATGCGGCAAATTGGCAGAGCGAAAATAAAATGAAAAATGCGTTGAAGAAACGAGCACACTTAATATTAAGCTAAAATTAAACGAATCGAAAGGCAAGCCCAATGTGGAAAATAAAACGGAAAAATGCGGCGAGACGAGTCCCAAAAAAACGGAAAATGGCCGAAAAAGGAAAGCACTTGATGTAGAGAATTATTTGTAGGTACTTCTGAGAGCAACGGGCAAATTAATACGGTTCCGTTGAGTTGCTCCGAAAAAACACACAAAAACATCCAGTAAAATAGTATAAATGTAAACCAAAGTAATGAATTATGAATAAAGAGAAACCCTTTCAAGGCATTTAAGCTGAGCCTGTCTCTCAATGGGAAAATGGAGGAAAATGCAGTGGAAAATAGTGCAAAAATGGCTGCATTAAAGCTTAACATTTTAATTTTTTGATTGCCATCAGCTTAGTACTTCTCTTTTTTTGAGACCCTATACCATTATTTCTAAGCCATCGAATTCGAATTCAGAGTCCACTTTCCTTTTCTGCCGATTTCCATTTTTTATTTCGTTTTCCTTTCTGCGCTTGGAGTTTTCCTTTTTTTAGTTTTTACTCCACTTTGGCTTTTTGGTTATTTTCGAGTGCGCGACGCGTGAAAAGCTGCTGGAGGCGTATTTTGTAAATTGAAAAACAAGAGCGCCGAGTTCAATGAGTGCGCCTGCGACTCAGCACCGCCTGCGGAATACCCTAACCCACTGAAAGCCCCCGGAAAATGCGAATAACGGCCCACGTGTCGTATGCGCAACTCGAAGATGGCAATTCAACGCAGAGGCGAGTACAAGTTAGTTCAAATCCTACTGCAGCATGTATCATAGTTGGTACTAAGCAGCCGGAAATGCCCAGCACTTCCCTAATCAAAAGTCCGTGGCCGTTGGTTTCGCTTCAACGTAAGTGGATTGTTGGCCAGAATGGTGGCTCGATGTCCGTAATTCGCTCGGACGGAGGACGTCGTGTGCGTGTGTGCTCAAGCCGGGCATTCCGGAGCTCCTGGTCACTGTTTTTCGTCCTGGCCACAACTGGAGTCCTGCCCGGCGAGGCATCCCTTTTTGGCCTCGGGTGTATGCTACGTCGTTTTCCTTGCGGATTTTTTCGTTTTGGTTTCTTTGTGCCACCCATTCCATTTTATTTTATTTTTTTTTTGGCGTGCGGCGTGCGGCGTGCGGCATGCAAAGGGCAGTCTGCAAAACTGTGGCAACTGAACTGAAAATTGCTGAGCACCAGCGGGCGTGGCAGGACATGCCGCCGCCCACATGCCACAAAACTTTCTAAAATGCAAGAATACACGGCGCTCGGCGAATTTACCAGCTACACATTTTGAGCTGAAACATGTGAAGCAATTTGCTTTCAACAAACTGTGCCACACAGCAACCGATTATTTGTGTGTTTACAGAGGCGGATTATTAATTCAATTGATTAAGTATTATAGCCGCATGCAGTAGAGTTTTTATTGCCTGTGACTTCGGGAACATGGCACATAGTTTTTTCTGGTGCAGCGCGCAACGGCTAAGCGTCTGAATACTTTGAAAATTTATTACACACACACATTGCAAGCGCACTTTTATTTCATTTCGGTCGATGGACGCCTTTTATGGCCAACTGGAGGAGCGAATTAAGTGCAGCCGGCGCAGACAGGAGGCACACACACACGACAGCCATTAGGCTGGAAATTAAATTTTTCATTTGAGCAAAAAGGGCACAGCTCGACCATAAAAGGATCTGTGTGCGCCGCGCTGCGGAGGCTGCAAAATTTCAAATTTATATCAATTGCGGTCGCTCATTGACTCCCCGACTCCCCGGCAGTTGAGGGGCACAACTGGGACAGGCACACGAGTCAAAGTTAATTGAATTTCCACAGGTGGGGCGCTGGATGTGCAGGCGCCACTGCATGGGGCATTAATTATGCAGCCGCCACATGAGCTGCAGGCGAACTTGATCCGGCCATCGAACCCAATCAATCTGCAATCTGCACTGAAGATTCCAGCGCTGAACTGGCTAAATGCCTTCAAGTCGCGGCTGGGTTGTCAATCACAATAAACAATGGCCAGGCATCATGCATTTTACATTATGTAAATGAGCTGGTGCATATTTGTATGGACGCTGCTGTACGCTGCAATAAGCCGGGCATCGCTTACCGTTTGGGTTAATCACATCTCAATCGACAGCCAACGGCAGCACTTTGGGCGCACAATTATCCTAATCCTTCGCTGGCAATCCCATTTCCATGCGCATTCGCATCTCCGCCAGCATTTCCAGTCGCACGGAGGAAGTGTAAGTGCAAAGTGGATGCCTAGACGGCTGCCTCGGGGGCTGCATCGCGTCATCGAGCTGCAGTCAAAGAGCAGCAGCTTCAACTGTCCGCTTCCTCAGCCTGGTCCTCGTCATCCTTGCCTCCTTGTGGGCTATTTTGCGGGGCAATGGCAACCGGATGCGGAACCAATTTAACGACGCCATTTCCGCCTCAGCCAGGCAACTGCAGAATCTCTGCGGCGACCATTGGCATCATGGTTGTGGCATGACCCTGCCCCTTGCCCCTCCTTCCTGCCACTTCCTGTTTGCCACAAAAATCCCATTCCCATCGCAGAGTTTGCGATGTTGTTATGTTGGCTGCCCGTCTACACGTCGCTGCTATTTTTGGCTGCCATTATTGATTTGCCGAATAAGTTTCGTGCCCGTCACCGCAGTTTTAATAGCACAAGCGGTTCATTAAAAATATAGCAATTCAATTATGTTCGCCGAATCATTTTTCTGCATTTTGGTTTTGGACCATTTTAATGGAATCACGCAATAAAGGAGTATAAAGCAATCCTTTGGAATTAACAAAGTTATGCTAAAGTTTATATTAATTATAAGTATTCTGCCATTGAATAAATAATCGTATAGAAATGAAATAAAACTCATAATTCAAACTTAACTGAGCCACTCAATGTTTGCGTAAACTGGTGCAGCCATTCAATTTACATCGAATTTCATGTAAGCCGCCATCATTTTAATCAAATAATCGAATGATTGCAAGTGCTGACCATAAATTAAATTACGCTCAAAGCTGGGTTCATTCTTTTGGAATTTTTCGCTGGCAACTTTCTGGTTGTTGTCTCACTTAATTTATGAAATAGCAGTTACTGTTTTTCTGCAGATTCGAGGCAGAGCAGATTAAGCTTGCCTATTTTCCCGGAATAAATATCTTACTGTACGGATACGCAGCTCAAACTGAATTAAAATTTCAATTTTCTATCCTATTTGTTGCGAAATATAGGCATGTCTGTTTTAATTTTAAAAGTATATACAAACCTATTTGTAGTAGGAGCACAATCGCCTTTAAATGGAAGCCTTTAATTTGTTGCATACAATGGAAATACAATTATTTTGAAAACTAGTTGGGAAAAGTATAATTTGTGTTGACAGTTAACTGCATAAGCATTGCAAAATATCCCTTAATGCTGAAATAAATTCCGAAAAACAATCTGGCTCAACGGAGACGTTTGCTTCGCCAGTAATAAATAACTTGCTTAACGCATTTGCAGGTTGAACCGCATTAAATTTGAAACCCCATCAGGATCCCCAGCCATTTCCGGTCGTCCCAGCCACAACGCCGTCTATTTCCGGTTGTGGATGCGATGCGCATTTATTACTCGCTCTCGCCCGATATCAGCCACCGACTTGACTTGGCCGCAATCGTTTAAGCCGTTTGAGCCAGCCGCAAGCAAACCGAGAGCAATCCCCCAAATTGCCGCCAAAGAACACTGCCACACGCACGTATATACAGATATTCCGATAGACGTCTATATATAGATACACATATATAGCAATGGGTAGGAAGGAAGGTCGCATAACAAAGGACCTTGGCAAGCTGCTGGCATCCAATTGAATCCGGCATCAATTCAGACGACCCGGCGATGACATCCCAAACAAAAGGGCGGCGGAAAGTGGAAGAGCGGAAAAGCGGAAAGGCGGAAAGGCAGAAATGAAATGAATTATGTTAAGCATGCAAATTTGAATAAAAACAAATAAAAAAGTGACAAGGAAAAAAGGAACTGCAAACAGGCTGGAATACAAAAAGATCATGAACTGAAAAGTGAGTGGAGGGGGAACTTCACTGGCAAGGACATGGACATGAACTGCAGGAATCAACTGCCAATTGCAATTTGCCCGGCTGTGCAAGTAAAACATTTTAACAACATTTAGCACAGCCAGCGAGAATCATGCAACAAAAAAAGGTGGATGCAACAATGGCAATTTCCGTTTTAACCTCGTTAAAAATGTGAAATACAAAATCTAGTGCACTTTTAAATTCCCCGAGCGCTCTGTCAAAAAACTCCAAATTGTTGTTTCCCAAAAAGTCGATCCTCAAAAAGATGCCGGCAATTTGACCACTTTGGAAACGCCAGTCCCCACTTCACTGCCGGATCTCGGCGAGATGTCGCTCCAATCACTTGGGATTGCAGTTGCTGGAAGGGAAGCCAGCAGGGCAAGCGAGCCGGAAATCGATGCCCACGACTGGCAGCTGCTGCTCCACTCGATCCGGCCGAGTATACGCAAAAAGTCCGATCTGTTGATAGCAGTCACCCACTTTCTGGTCACCAAGGAGTACCGCCTGCGATGCGCCAGCAGTTGCCGCGTTTCCGGCGGAAGGCAGCTGGCTGGTGGCTGTGGCACTACTACCATGTGCGAACTACTGCCCGATCACTGGAATCGGGCTGCCGATAGATACACACTGAACTACGCGGATGGGCTGGGTGCTCAGTATATCCTCATGGCCAAGCTGACTCGCCGGGATCTCGTGATCAGTCTGCAGAATTCGACCAGCAAGCGCATGGCCATCGCCTGTGTGCAGCCGGAGCATCTGGTGAGATCCACATGCAAGTCATCGATGGACAAGTGCATTCCCAGGCTGGACAAGTTCATGAGGAGACTGCGTGCTGAGCTGCTGGATCCGGCGGTCAGGGGCACCAAAAGATTGGTCGCGGGGCCGTCCTTCAATAGGAAGATTTGGAAGAAGGAGCTTCCCCTCCGGCATTCTGGCACTTCTAGAGTGACCTTCGACCTCGTCCAGAACACACAACCGCTGGAAGGTGAGGAGTCCACTTAGGAATGCAAAACACACCATTCAGTGCAAATAAATATAAAATTACCAGTACCAAATTACCACTAATTACTTACATTTTTCGGTTTTTGGTTGCAAAATTAAGTTGTACAGCTAGAGAATCAAACGTTTTGTGAATCGATTAGGCAAAGCTTAAGCCCATATCAGTTTTCTGATGTTTTTAGCTAATTTAAATTTTTTCCCATTTTTCGCACAAAATTTTACACTAAATTTTTGCGAAAAATGGTCAAAATTTAAAGTGTCTAGACTGGGACGCCAATCGATTGGAAATTAAGTTGCGAGTTCACCGAGGTATGCCACTCCCTAGTTGGATAATTCTTTGCGTTGTTATGGCTAAAAAACTGCATATTTTTTCCTGAAAACCGCGGAAATAGAAATTTGCAAAAAAAAACATTTTTTGTTTGGTTTTTTTCCTATAACTTGGGCAATACAAATCGCACAATTAAAAGAGACATTGTTTTGAACAGCAAACAACACAAACTTTTGAAAAGGGTCACTTTCTGCAGTCTTTTAGAAAAAAAAAAATTTTCCCAATTTTCTGCGTTTTTGGTAAGGGGTAACACCACAAAATTTTTGCGAAAAATGGTCAAAATTTAAAGTGTCTAGACTGGGACGCCAATCGATTGGAAATTAAGTTGCGAGTTCAACGAGGTATGCCACTCCATATTTGGATAATTCTTTGCGTTGTTATGGCTACAAAACTGCATATTTTTTCCTGAAAAATACGAATATAGAAATTTGCCAAAAAAAAACATTTTTTTTTTCTATAACTTGGGCAATACAAATCGCACAATTAAAAGAGACATTGTTTTGAACAGCGAACAACACAAACTTTTGAAAAAAATTACTTTCTGCAATCATTTAGAAAAAAAAAAATTTTCCCAATTTTCTGCATTTTTGGTAAGGGGGACATCATAAAATTTGTCGAAAAATGCCAAAAAAAAAAAAAATTTCCAGATTTAAGTGCCAATCTATGGGGCATTCAAATAGGAGCTCGGCGAGGTGTGACACTCGATATTTGGATCGAAGCATTCGTTTTTATGGCCATTAATATGCATCATATGCACACATTACTCATACGCACTGTTGCGCTTAGAAATTCAATTAAACATGGTCAAATATTTACTTTGAGCTATTTCACTACAATATTCATGCCCTTACGGCATATCGCTTTGGGATCAGAGCATTGGTCAGTCGATATCCTCGTGTATTTCAGGATTGCGGTTGGATATTTCGGTTTTGCTGCCATTCTCGTCCTGCCACGAATGGTTGTCATTATTATGGCTGCCCCACCGCGCTTTGTTCGCATTTATTATTTATTGTGTTAATAATGCAGTTGCGTTGAAAATTTCATAATGTCCGGCGATGTCATTGGGGCAGTCAGCAGTTGGTCTCCTTTTTTTTTAAACATTTGTTGTGCCTTCACTTTTGTTGCAACTCTGCGGATATATTATTGCATGTTGACACTATTGTTGTTGATGCAGCTGTGGTTGCGGCAAAATTGACGTTGATGTGGATGCTGATGGCTGGTTTGGTTCGCTTTGGCTGGCTGAAACCAGAGGCACCGCAAAACAAAAAACAAAAAACAAAAAACAAAAACCGCCTCCATTTTATGTAGTGCTATTAAAACCACTGCGTAATGGAATATGAATATCAAATTCAGACTCAGTGGCCAGAAAAGTGTTTCCCTCCAATTAGATGGGTTCGTCGAGGACCTAAACAATAAAACGGCACAAATAATGCAATGCTATTCAATACACACACGTACACGTAGCTTGTTGATTAGGGTGGACCATCGCTTTGGGTCCTGGCATGTGTGGGTGGTAAAACCAGTAATTAAAACAAATCATTTTTAGGGTTTATAACAATTTACCCGAAAATGTGTTTCGCTTTGTTTTGCGCGCCATACGTGTATTAACAGTCGAGTGCTGTAATTTATTTCATCCATTCTGCGCTGGATTCGTGCCACTGTGGGTCTGTGTGTGTGTGTGTTGCAGCATCATCATAAAATTCAATTAAACCGAAACGCACACAATCAAACAAAAGATCAAATTAAATGCCGGCTAGCAATTTACTTCGCCGATGTAAGAGGGCGGGGCAGCTAACCCACGGCAAAGCACATGTGTGTGCTTAATGCACAGAGAGAAATTTCGACGACCGAGCTGCTGCAAAATCGCGCCCCCTGGAAAGCAACACCACCAGCTGGTGGTTTGTGCCTACCCAAACAATGTAGTTGTAGCTGCGGGAGGATTTCGAATTCGCTTCGATTTCGCTCAGTGCGCTGCTCATACGTGTATGTATGCGTGTGTGTGTGTGTGTGTGTGCGTGTGGCATAGACAACGGCACGCATTGCGGTTTAACGCGCTTTTCATTACTTGGCGGGCTAAAGGAGGCTGAATGGCAGCCGGAGGAACATCAAAGGAGAGGCGGCGCCCCACAGACGTGGAAGGACATGGCAGCAGAACAGGAACAAGGACAAGTTGCTGTGGTATTTTTACGACCATTTCAGTTTCGAAACGGCAATCGAGAAGCTTGTACGACCACCAAATGGGCCAAAGGGGGCTGGGCTGTGCCCCGAAAATCATATAAAAGTCATTGGGACTTAGTTAAGCCAGCGATATTAAGAAACGCCAAGGATGCTGCCAAGGCAATGGCAAGGAAAAAAGGCAAGCCGCCAAATGGGCACAAGGATAATAATAAACCAAGGCCATATAGCGGCACTAAACTCCACATGTCACAGTGGACATTAGCGGCAGACCGGAGAGCCAAAGGAGCATCTACTTAAATAGCTATTATGAATATGTGGCAATAAACTCATGTTTAATTTGAACAAGCCTGAGTTTCCAGAATTCAAATGGCGTGGCATGAATTTGGATTAATCAACCCATTGAATCCAATCAAAACAACCGAGGTGATGGCGCCAGTGACACGGAGTTCCACCTTACGGAGCACTTGGAGCACGAGCATTATCCACCGATTCCTAACCCCCGATTGACCCGTTGGCGCCATCCTGCGTGCAGGCAATTACAAAGTTTTGGGCGCTGCATTTAATTAGGCACGGCAGCAAATCAGCATTTGTTATACCGCTCGGCGATGTAGCACACTAATAGCTGACCGCTCCCGGCAACTTATCGGGGGGCGGGGGGCGGGGTAATGGGGCATGGGCCCAACGAGCCGCTTAATTGAATGCCCCAGGCGCAAAGTGAAAAAGAGGGCAGCAAAAAAGGCTGGAAAACAAGCGAAAACAAGCGCCTAGTTTGCAACAACGACTTTTAAATGAGCTTCACCGAAATGAACTTGTATGCCTAGCTCAAGATTTGTGTGCACTGGCTTAAATGCTTGTAAAATAATGCTGTTGCTAAAGAATCGTGAGCAAATGCGTTGAATTTCGTATGGAACGCTGTGTACCCCGCAAAACAGTGAAACACGTTGGCGGAGCTGAGGAGAAGCAAAAATTATACACTGTATTTATTATCGGCTGCGGAAAAGGAGGACGTAAGCCGATGGAAGGATGTTGTCCCAAGCTTTTGGCTTCGACTTTGGCTTTTCCCCGCCGGCTGTTTGTTAATGGCCAGGCTCAAGCGAGTTTTCCATGTTGGCTTAGACAAAACGGCCCAGCTGCAGCGGCGCCACAGAAATTGGCCTTTTTATTGTGTAACTCACCATGGCGGCCAGGACGAAGGACCTCCTGCTTCTCCCAGTCGCTGAGTTCCAAGAGCGCAGAACAGCACCTTCTGCTTCTACACTTGGCGAAATTCTTGTTACTTATTTTTTGGGTTTTATATCAGGCATTCAAGGGCAAAAGGCAGCGTTAACCAGCTGCCAAATAATGTTGTGGTACTCAGACATTTTTGCGCAGTGTATCCTCCTCTATTTTCCACTCATTTATTCGCTGGAACAAAAGCAGCGGCTTTGAAATGCCGACGGCGGCTGTTGGCCATTTTGGTAACTGGCAACTGGCAACTGGCAACTGGTTACTGGTAACAAAGGACGACCGCTTGCAAAGGACTGCGATATGGAAGGAATTAAACATAAATGTGCAACGTGTTTTGCATTTTTGCCTTGGTTGATGCGCGATCGAGCGGAATTTCCCCATGGAAATCAAACATATTGGGTCCATCATGTTTTCCGGCCTGGGTTCCAATGGAAACCACTTTCCACCACAAGGCTTATTCACAACGAACAACCAGACGCAGGCATCCTTGTAAAATGGCCCATAAAAAATATAAAAAAATGTATTTGTAAATTTGTAAATTTCCAAAGAACAAACATGCTCGCTTGTGTAACAGAGCACATATATGTGTAGTTTTTCAAGCTAATACAATATATGCAGCACGGCTTATGGCTTCAGAACATAAGCCAGACTTTTGGTTTGCTGTGAAATTTCCACTTAACGCCTTTGTCGTCGCTGCTTTGTGCAGAAATAACATTTCAAAGTGTTTTGCCCATTGAAAAACAGTGAAGCGCCCATTAAAGGGAATTATAAGCCCGCCACAGACTCAAAATTCCTTTGAGTCTCTGTATATTTTGGCCTTCAAAATCTGCACCGTCACTTGCCCATCATTCTTCTTTTGGCAGAATGTAATCTCCTTAAAAGCGCCTCAAAACCTGCGAGTGTTCTCAAAAATATTCCTGCTGGCATCTAATGACTTTTGATTTCAGCCTGACACATACATTTTCCCGGCTGGCAGGTGGATTTTCACTCATATGTCGGCCGTCTGTCGCGCTTCAAAGTCATATTGGCCGAATGATGATGCACCATCCTTGATAAGTTGGCTTAAAATGAATAATGCAACGGGAATCGCACTGCTTGCGTGTCCTGCGGGCCACCAACTACATGCTACACTGAGCACAAATGGGGCCCTTTGTATAGACGCACACACAGTCGCTATCTGGCCAACAAGCAGCTACACTGGGAGACAAACTGGGAAACCAGCAAGCAGCTGCACTGCGCAACAAATCACACTAATATACCTGATTAATCAGTTATAGTTTATAAAAAAGCGAGAGGGGAGACACATTTTA